AAATGGCTTAAGACTTCGTAAGTCGTGTTTCAGTCTGATTCGCATTCATGTGCTTCCACGATTTCCAGTTGAAGACGGATGCCTGGCGCAAAAATAGGGCTGGTGAACGTGAAGTGCTTCACGTTTATCAAGTATATATTCTTTCTAGGCGCGCAACTGCGTATACATGGTTGGTTGATGGAAGTTAAGAGAGGAGACATGGCGTACGGAGCCTGTGTGAATTTGTCCGACAAGGCGAGAAAATGGTATATGAGCAACGTCGAGGTAGGGGAACCTATCGGTGCAAGCAATACAGCATAACCGGGACTTGATATTGGTTCTTTCAGTCATTGATGATCGAAGCGTCTCCTCTCCTTTTGGCAGCGTCTGCGGCAAAGAATAAAGTTACGGTAGCTGGCGGATCTGCGTCAGCAGCAGTGGAGGACGAATCAAAACGGTGTGTGTTTTGTACAATGAGCAGTCTAGCGGATTCCTTATTCCTAGAAAATGCATTATCGATTGCTATAATTTCGTGATATTTTACTGGGACTATTTCAGAAGGGTACTGGGACCAACTCGATTGCGGAAGTACTTGTCAGCGAGTGCCTATCCTTCACTTCAGACACAATCTGGTGATACTCTTCCCAACATTCCACTTGTGAGTGTTTAAAAGCTTTCCAACAATTTTACACGAGCTCGTACATATCAGGTAGAAGAACTCCGACGGATGCTGGATAACACTCGAATGGAGTTGGCCAAGGAGTACGACTGTGGACCTTTCCAGATAGCATCGAATAAGGTGCTAGACCAGCTGGCAAATGTTCGACCGGATAGGTTAGTGATTAAAAGAGTTGTTACAGAACTACTACTTCCTGATACCTACAAATGGAAGGTTTATTTGACGCAGGCCTTTCGAAGAAAAACCAGTGTCTCAAATGAGGCTCCTGTATTTAAGCTTACGTAGCAGTATTGGGTTTGTTGAGTGGGCTCTTCTTTAAAACGTGTTCAGTAATTCCTCGCCTGAGTAAACTTCGTGGCGATGCGCCATGCTGTCGTCGCCTTTCCAGAATCGGAGAGCGTATTAGATTTGTGTAGTGACTTGGAGACATATTCCGTAGTTGGCTGGCTGTGCAAATCTCTTATGAATAAGATAAAAAGGTCTGAAAGCGGTTTTTATCAATTTTGCGGCATAACGTTTTCAGGTGAAAAGCTACTGACCCTATTCAGCTCCCTCGGCCTCTTCTGCACGTCTGACTGCTTCTTTTCTCGATGTCATGGACAGTGTGTGTCGTGGTTCGGGAGCGGTTGCCCTCCTAACCCTCCAACACGACGCATCAAGGTGGTTCGGAGCCCTCGTGGTCCTTTCCCAGACACACGCCATCCTACGGGTCCTTCCCGGGGACCATGCTGTTTCCCGCAAGCATGGCCTCCGCTCCCCGGGGCGTCACGGGTTCCTAACCCAGGGAAGGGGGTTTAAGGGTCGCGGTAAGCGGTAACCCGCGGGGGCAAGGCCCACCGTCGGCCCGGGCTTTCCCAGCCCAAGGGCCGAGGGCTCCCTTGCCCCGGCTACACCCCACAACATAACAGCACAAGAAAAACCTATTGCGCCTTAGTCGGGCCCCTGCCCTGGCGCCCCTGCCTCCCCAAACTACAACCAACTAGAATACAACAACTACAATAAAACATACATTTATTGGCGGATATTGGCGGCAACAAGTCGACGACCTATTCTTCTCATCCTCTGCCGGGCTTGGAGATACCAAGCCATCGCGTCGTCCATCCATCGGGTCGTCGGCGGTAAGTGGCGCACTGCTGGCGCCTGCAGCCGGCATCGGGTGTAGCGGACGCTGGCTTGGCAGCGCTCCGATGGACGGTGCAGCATGCCCGATCGCGCGGTGCGCTCGGGACCACATTTATGAACCGTGACAGTGTGTGTGTTTTGCTCATCTCACCGCTCGATCGTCTCCGACGTCTGTTCTCTCATTTCGGTGCTCAGTCTTTCTTTGATCATTTTTTTTTGGCTCGGACGATCCCCGCAATCAACTGCAAAAGAACGGCTTTAAAGAATCGTCGTGAAAATCATAATTCTATCTTACCTATGAACTACCACTGATTTGAGACCCATCATTTTGATAAGAAATAAAAGAAACAAATTTGAAGAACTCGTATGAATTTCACACGTCCAAATTCCCGATGTACATTTGTCAAAAATGTTGACGAACTCTTGACTCATTTTGGAACTGAACTCTTTTTGGCTTTTCCACCTATGGCAATAACGTTTCTCTTTTCTATCCATCCTAATCCTTCGATCCCTTTGTCTTTTTTCTTCGAATTCGAGCGCCCGGACCCGATTCGTTCAAGTGTTGCCTGATATTTAGTGCCCCAAGGTGCACTTCTTTCCATGCATACCCTTGTCTCCGCCCGACCTACCTTCGACCGTCCATAGAGTGTGGTTTTCGTAGTTTGTTTCTCTTCGGAAACTGAATCTTCTTGCGTGAAACTTTGTATGTTGTCTCTAGTGATCACAACTGACATATTCGTGTTGGGAAAGAACGCAAGAATTTTTCGGCAACGATTCTTTCAATCCGGGCCATTTTCAACAGTTTCTTTGCTCTTCTCTGAACTGTCGGGTCATATGGTACCTGCTCTTTCACATCCTTCATCCCACCCTATCATTCTCCTTCCCCTATCGCGGAACATGCTTTTGACAAGGAGGAAGTAGAGATTGGAAGCGAAGCACTTTAAACACTGGTATTTCGACGAAACTAGCTACTGCTTCATCAACTGTGAAAAAGTATCGGAAAGCGCGTCAGTGGTATTGATGGTTATAGTTACGTTCATTATTCAATAAGTTCTTTTTTCAGCATTGCAGCTTTAGAAGCAATCTCGGATCTTCCTGTAGAAAGACGTCAACGCTTTGGGCAGCGTTTCATTGACTGCATCAAAGAATTTGTCACGACGCATCAGCTTGACACCAACGTTTCCAATTCATCAACGGTGAATAATTTATTTTTTGTGTGATGCGTTTATCCTCAAGCGTAGGATGAATTTCAAATGTAGGGTTCAGACTATTTATTGTCTGGATGGGCCACCATTAAGGTTTCCCCATAGGGGGTTTTATGTGGTTTCTCGGGGAAGCGGGAGTAGGGCTTATCACAGTAAATATGTGAATTGAATGTATTGGGTGTTTTTGTTTGATTTTTGGAGCATTTGAAAATTTCATCCAGTTTCACAACGTTTGTTAACACGGATGGAAATATAATAGTCGATAGACAACTTTGAGAAAAACCATGCGTAATTTCTCGGTGGGATGGGAGGGAGTAGAAGTGGAGAAGGAGGGGGGTTATAGGACCCCAAGTGTGCTGGGGATCGTAGCAGCCAAACTTTTCGACACAGAGCTCATTATGTTCCAAAGCTTAAAAAGTAAGATTTGGAACAAATTGTTGAAGAGGAACATGGCTTGGCTTTAAATGTATTCTTTTGAAGATACCATCAGAACTACAAGATACCATAGCCCGGCTTACGCCCAGCATCCAGCAAACCTACAAAGCCCATTTGATGTCCGCAGCTTCGATTGTAAGTGTTCTATCTTCAACTTTATTGACGTTGAGGGTCTCTGAATACTCATTTACATCTCAGATTGATCTCTCGAAAATACGATGTGTTAGCGAATCGACCACATGGGGATATTTATGTTCTGCGGTGGAGCTGGGACTTCCAGTTCATTTGGACAAATTAGGAATTGAAAGAAATTTAATCGACACGGTCTTAAAGGCTGCAAGAGAAAAGTTGGGTGGAGGTAAGCTTCATCCTATTAGAAAGAAATTTCGTAGTTTTTTCTTATTATTCACCCAAACGAAACAGATTAGCCTAAGGGCAGAGTCCATGATGAAAAGGCATCCCATTAGAAATCAAGTTAGCGATTCATTGATGCACGGATGAAGTAAAAAAATCAAGAAAAATAGCCTAGAACCAGACCTCATTTGGGTCCCTTTTTGGTCGATTCCCGCTTTGCAGCGAGTCTGATTGGTGCTGATGTCACCAAAGGGAGCGCTCTGCTCTGCGTCTCTGTTAAAGCGGAAGAATCAGTCGCTAGAGTCCGACGACGACGAGGGTTAGCTAGTCGGTGGGCGGGTAGTAGCCTGGGCGGCGCGAGTACGACCCTGATGAGCCGCTGAGGAATAACATTCGCTTCAAAAACGCGTATCGCCAGCACCATCAGAAGGGCCATCGGCCTCTTGAATAGGTATGATTTTCCTCTCGACCGAGGTCCTTTTCGCACACCTCTCGTGCAGAGGTGGGCCTTTAACCACGTAGAACTCGCGAGCCACGTGCAATACTTGGGATGGTAAAAAAGTCCTGAGCCGATTTTTTGAAAGCTCCAGAACTTTCGCTTATTGGTCGATACCTAGAATCTGCTACGTGATAGACTATCGCTGTCGATCATACTTCTCCGCAGTAGGTATATATTGCCGGGTTGCCTTCTTTAACTTTAATCATGATGTCGATTCCACAAGAGCACTTTCGAGCGATCATCTTCAATGAATGGCGCTGCGGCACAGGAGCAGTGGGAACCGTCAACATTATCAGCATCGCATTGGGAAGGGACACCACTTCCATCATCAGTGCCAAGCTCTGGTTCGCAGGCTTCGAAGGAGGAGACACGGCTTTCAAAGACAAGACAAGGTTGGGAAGCCCCTCGGCGCTGTCGAAGAGGATCCGGACGTTTAGCACCCGCAGCCTTGTGATAAGACTCGGGTGCACCCATCCCACAGTCCTCGGTCCCCTCCACGCCTCGCCACAGGAAAGTGCTGACTCGATGGATTCCTCATGTCTTGACCGATAGCACGCGGTTCAGGCGGGTACCCATTGTCAGTTTCTCCTTCTTTGTCCGCACCGAAAGGAGTTTTTGGAAGGCATGATTACGAGAGATGAGAGTTGGGTCCTCTACGATTCTAACAAGCACAGTGCCGTGTGGCTCCCTCGAAGAGAGGGCCTGCCGACACAAGCAAAATCGGACCTTCACCCCAAAAGCTGTCTCCTTTGCTACCTCTGGGATTCGTGAGGAATGCTGTACTATGATATGCTCCCGTAAAGACATACCGCTACCGGCAGCATTTACGCCAGTCTGCTCTAGAAACTAGCGGACGCTGTTCAAGAAAAACGACCGAGACGAACTTCTGTCCACCTACTCCACGATGACGCCAGGCCCCACAAAGCTAAAGAGACCCGTGCAGAATTGGAAGAGCTGATCTGGGACGCGGTTCCCCATCCACCCTATTCCCCTTACATTGCCCTCTCTGATTATCACTTACTTCATCCCCTTAAGGGATCCCTAGCGAAGAAAAAATTCACCAAAGTTGAAGACGTTGAAGAGCGGTCAGCGATTTCTTTGACTCTCAGTCTGCTCAGTTCTGGGAGAAGGGGGTCGCTGACCTGCCCATTAGGTGGGACTCTGTAGTGAGTAACAATGGTGATTATATTGTTGAGTAGATTCCATTGTACGCGGAATAAAAAAGTAAAGCAAAAAAGTGTCAAACGGCTCAGGACTTTCTTACCATCCTAATACTATCGGTTTCTCTCCCCTCAGTCAGCGGACGTGAATGACGAGTTCTTGTGTAGGTGTCGCCTCGCTCAATCGCTCTGTCATGAAAGTTGAACTTCACATAATTGATATGTCAGAAGCGCGTTTACTCCCGCCTCGGAAATCCATTGTGTTTTGCCTACAGAGAGACTGCTAAACGCTGTGCACGCTTTTTACATCTTCGTTACTTATTTTGACTTGTTTTATTTATTAACTGCTGTTAACTGCTGTTTTAAGCCGCAGTTCTCGCTGCGATGCTCACAAAAAAGCTGAGTTGTGGGTAGAACTTACTTTTTGCATTCTTGTGAAGCATTTCTTGTTTTCTAACTTTCGAGGAATATTTGTCTATGGGAATGGAACGATTCGCCCCATTTGAAGCCACTTGTCAGTTTCGTTATCAGTGTCTATTCAGATGTGTATCGACTGAAACAGCTAATGGAGGCGCTACCGCCGGATACTATCGACTACAATCGTCTAAAGATAGTCAGAGCCATCTTGTTATGGGAATATGAGCCGCACTCTACTGAAAGTGTAATATCAGGTAGGATACGTTTTGAGGAGGTCGTTGCGTCGTGGGCTCATAAAACGTGCTCTGTTGATCAGTGAGGTGTAGTGGCAAGTATCGCCGCATATCACGCTCATAATACGGAGTAAAACCCTAGATCAAATCCCACTCAACCTAATCAAGCTCTTCAGTCAATGAAATTCGGTTTATTGGTAACAGACTCCTTGTGGGGTAAGGCGGAGTCCATGTAGAAAAGGGAGCCCTTTTATAAGTTAACGTAGAGGTCTTCAGTGGTGCAGAGGTGAAGAAAAAACCATAAGAAACGACCCCAAACCCGAGAAATGGAACCGCTTCTGTGCCGGTTCGTCTCCGCTCTAATTCGACTCTTACAGGTGCTGTACTCTTTAACGCTAATGCTCTCTTTGCAAAATGCCTAGAGTCAGAAGGTGAGAGGGTGGGCGTGCCGCGGTACCGAGTGGCGCGAGTGTGGCCTTACAAAGCCTTGGGGGCATGCTCTTCGCTGCGAAACAACGTCGCTCATAATCCCGCATCCTCAGGGAGCCACTTGCCTTTCGACTTGGTATATTTCCCTTTCTTCGACCTCCAACCTTGTGATGAAATCCTCCTTTAACCCAGCCTCCAATTGCGGAATATCTGCCCAAGCTTTCAGCTTTACGATTTGCTGTCGATGCCGACAAAACGCTCATCACATTACTCGTGTGATTGGTGATAAGATATCACTGACAGCTGAGTTAACATAGCGTTATTGGAGTGATGGCTGATCTTGAACAGCACAAGTTCAGGTTCGAGTCTTGTCTTGGGCGGAGTGTTTGCCTGTAACGCACCGTGCTATCGATAAGAAACAGATGAATTAGTACTGTATTTTTTGTTACAGCTCCTGCAAGTACAGCTACGGAGACGTCGAAGTCAAGCGGTTCGCAAAAATCTACTGTGCCATCGTGGATGTTGAACGCGGTTCCGGCACCACCACAACCGAAAAAGAAGAAAATATTTATCTGAATTTCCATGCTTGTTGATTTATACATTGAGACGTTGCAGTACTGGTGGCTCCATGCATTCAGTTTCCTTATTTGATCTCTGTAACTTGTACGGATAAAATTCTAAAATTTGGTTTCGAAGGAGGGTTCCACGACGTGGTCGGAGGTCGAAGAAGGGGAATATACCTGGTCGAAAGGCAGGCGGCCCTCTTATTGGTGTGAGAGATACGCGTTTCGCAGTAAACGGTATGCCACCGGCGATCTAGCATCATCGTTCTCGCAGCGCTATCGACGTGACACGCCTACCAACTGGCTAACCACGCCGCAGGTGTCTAGCCGTTTAGAAGAGAGGCATGAGCGATGAATAGGTAGCACTAATTAAAGTCGTATCAATGCGCAAGGACTCTCTCTTCTTAGCTTCTAGGCTGCGCTTCTTGGTTTATTCCTCATCCGTGCATCACTCACCATGATGTCTTATGGGCTGTCTTCTCATCAAGAACTGTACCTTTAAGCCCATAGCATGGTTTGTCACTGTCGTTTCCCTACATCTTGAAATGGTTGTTTTGTCCAGTCGTCGACTTTTCCGTCGTCATCAAAAGTCTCAACATTAGATTCAAAGCAACAGTCCCAGCAGGGTTTTTACCTTCGACACTAATGGTGTGGAACGATGCGCTAGCCCTAGTCAAGAACATAAGAAGTGTGACTGAACAAAAAACTCACCTTGGAAAGCCGCTAGAAAGGGAGCTGAACGGCTTTCCAAGGTGAGTTTTTTGTTAGTCACACTTCTTATGTTCTTGACTAGGGCTAGCGCATCGTTCCACATCATTAGTGTCGAAGGTGAAAACCCTGCTGGGACTGTTGCTTTAAGTGTTTCTACCACATCGAATAGCTCCCCTTTAGTATTTTGACTTTTGGATTAGGAATGAGTGAAAAAACCTGGAACTGAAAAGATTGCTTTTCACTGGGCATCAGCCATCAGTGCGAAGAATGGCCAAACCAACGGCAACCGTCGCATCCGCGACAGCATCCAAACTCGTACTTGATTCACACAAACTGTCAAAGCGTATTAATATACTGATGCACTTAGCGCACGTCTCGCCACATCCCAGCACCGGAACGTAAGCT